AGGCATCACTGCAATTATGGAGACGGGGGGGCCTGGACACAGCTGTTAGACCTATGCAACTTGGACTGGGTTTGTACACTGATGTAAATTATTCCAGGATCTGGAGTTGGCAGGTGACCAGCTACGTGGACAGAGCTTTTTTTCAGTAGGCACTATTTACGGCGCCTTATGCTAGGTGGCAGGGACTGGCGCTACTCCTAAACAATTATGCTGGGATAGCTTGAGACGCACAACACCGACACTGATGCATCTGCCCCATTTCCCTCTCCCTCCCCCTCCACTTCCATCTCGCCAGTTTTTTGTTTCTTGGGGTGGTTTTACACTGGGTTCAAGCAAATAACACTGTTGTAGGACTGTGTCTGCTCCTTTTTACATCTGTGTATGAAGTCTGATTGTACCAGTAATGTTGCATCTCCAAACCTTTAGGATCAAGGCATAAAGATGAGCTGAACTTTTAACTTGAAAGTTTGAGTCCTCATTCCTATTTTAACCAGGGTCTTAGAGGTGAAAACATTTCAGCCTGCACATCCTTGATGCTAAGTATAAACTCTCAGAAAACCTGAGGCTGAAGTGATTCAGTCTTCATGGGTTAGTCTAAGCCAGGCGCGGGCAATTATTTCAGGCGGAGGGCCGCTTACTGAGTTTTGGCAAGCCATCGAGGGCTGCATGACTGGCAGCCAGGGGCAGATAAATATTAACTTTCTAAATTTTTTAGGGGCCCGTGGGCTGGATAGAATGACCTGGTGGGCTGCATCCAGCCCACGGGCTGCATTTTGTCCACCCCTGGTCTAAGCTGTGTAGATTGAACTGATAAGCAAGTGAACAGACATTCACTTTTGATGCTGGAAATGCAGCTATGTGCCTGCAGTGGTCCAGACCTGAAGCCAGGAGGCGCTAGAGCACACCTCTCTGCTTGGCTGGAGCAGGCAGCTCAAAACTGGAGGGGATCTGAACAGAAGTTCAATAAAATGATTTAATTTAAATCAGTTAAGTCTGATACTACATCCATCCAGGTGTCTCTTAAACCAGTTTCGGCCATTTTGAAAACATTTCACATGCGCTGAACTTCTCTTGTGTTACAGAGCTGAGCTGGTTTCTGATCACTTGTACTGGTTTGTGTGTAATGTCTGTCCCTAGCCTGAAAAAAAGGCAAATCCTAAAGTTATGAGGACCAGAAGAAAATCTCTTGTTTATTTTATTCTAAAAGTGCAATTTTTGGCTCCAAGGCACCTGCTGTTGGGGATGAATCGAATTCCTGTTGTTATTCTGGCTTCCACAGCCTGGCGTGTGTTTGACAATGGTGTTGGGAGCAGCCTAGTACAAGTCTCCCCGAGTGCATGGAGCGGGAGGAAAGGCCAGGCAGCTGTCAGGGACTTCTGAATGGAATCAGATGATCAAATGTGCTCATGTTTGGGACACAGCTTGTGCAGATTTGCAATTAAAATGTTCAGTTGAATCTTGGAAAAGAGAGGAATATTTCCTTCCTTATATCAGATGGGTGAAATGATGGGGATTTTGCCATTTCTGCAATGGTTTCTCTCTGTGCTGATGTTCTAGCTGTGGCATACTGTTGTATAACTCTTCCGGTTTCTGTGCAGAATCTCAACTCTGCCTTTTCCCGAGCCTAAAATGAGATGCTATGCCCAGGGGATAACTGTGATCACCTCTTATTTCTGTATTTTGATCAGTCGTGAAATAATTAACAGTGGTGATTTTTTAACACTGACTTTGAAATGAGATAAGTGGCAGCTCGTGCACCTTTCTGAGCTATTTTATAATACAATTTGAAGAACAGCTCATCTTGGGGCTGAGAGCTGGGTCTGTGCCTGCACTAGTCTCTACCCTTAACATTTCAGCATTCATCACTTCTGGTTTAGTTCTACTGTTGGTAGCAACCTTGCCAGTCAATACACGGCCACATCAGGAGGGGCTATGGACCAGTTATGAGACAATGCTTTGTAGACCACTCCTGGTCTCTGTGTGGTGAAGAAATGTGTCTAAGACGTGTCAAACACTGTTCCCAATCTGTTGTGCTCATTAGGTGATTCCAGCTTGGGATGTAAGTGGAGTGGGAGTGACTGGGTGGGGCTGGTTAGTAGAAAGAAGAGGCATATCCAGTGGACCAAGCATAGGTAGGAGAAAGGGGCTGCCTGTCTGTCTTTCTAGATGCCACACATGTAGAATCATAAACCGTGAGGGTTGCAAGGGACCTCAGGAGGTCACATCTAGTCCAACCCCCTGCTCGCCAATTAGATCATCCCAGGCAAGGTTTTGTCTAGCCAGGTCTTAAAAAAACTCCAAGGATGCAGAGTCTACAACCTCTCTGGGTAACCTGTTCCAGTGTTTTACTAACCTCCTAGTGAGAGAGGTTTTCCTAATTTCTAACCTCAACTTCCCTTGCTGCAACTTGAGCCCATTGCTCCTTGTCCTGTCATCTGCCCCCACTGAGAGCAGTCCAGCTCCATCCTCTTTGCAACCCCCTTGCGGGAGATGAAGGTTGCTATTCAATCCCCTCTTGGTCTTCTCTTCTCCGAACTAAATAAGCCCAATTCCCTCAGCTTCTCCTCATACGTCATGTGCCCTGACCCCCTAACCATTTTTGTTGCCCTCTGCTGGACTCTTTCCAATATTTCTATATACTTTCTGTAGTGGGGGGCCCAAAACTGGACACAGGGCTCCAGATGTGGCCTCACCAGTGCTGGATAGAGGGGAGGGATCACTTCCCTTGATCTGCTAGCAATGCTCCTACCAATGCAGCCCAGGATGCTGTTAGCCTTCTTGGCAACCAGGGCACACTGCTGGCTCCTATTCAGCTGATTGCCCACTGTCCCCTGCCAGGTCCTTTTCTGCAGAGCTGCTGCCCAGCCAGTCACCCTCAGCCTGTACCAGCGCATGGGATTGCTCTGTCCTAAGTGCAGGACTTTACACTTGTCCTTATTGAACCTCATGAGATTTCTTTTTGTCCAGTCCTCCAATTTGTCTAGGTCACTCTGAATCCTAGCCCTACCCTCCAGTGTATCTACCGCTCCCCGCAGCCTGACGTTGTCTGCAAACTTGCTGAGGATGCACTCCACCCCATCTTCCAGGTTGATGATGATGACATTGAATAAAACCGGCCCCAGGACTGACCTCAGGAGCACTTCACTTGATACCGGCTGCCAACTAGACGTCGAGCCATTGATTGCTACCCTCTGAGCCTGATGATCCAGCCAGTTTTCTATCCATCCTACAGTCCATTCATTTAATCTGTACTTCCTTAGCTCATTGGTGAGAATGTTGTGGGCATCTGTAACAAAAGCCTTGCTAAAATCAAGGTAGATCATCATGTCTACTGCCCTCCCATATCCACAGAGCCAGTCATCTCTTCCTAGAAGGCAATCAGGTTGGTCAGGCATGACTTGCCCTTGGTGAATCCATGTTGCCTGTCCATAATCACCTTCTTCTCCTCCAAGTGCTTAGAAATGGATTCCTTGAGGATTTGCTCCATGACTTTTCTGGGGCCTGAAGTGAGGCTGAGTGGTCCGTAGTTCCCTGTCTCCTCCTCCTTCCCTTTCTTCAAGATGGGCACTATATTTGCCCTTTCCCAATTGTCCAGGACCTCCCCCAACCCCCACAAGTTTTCAGAGATGATGGCCAGTGGCTCTGCAATCGCATCAGCTAACTCCCTCAGCACCCTTGGGTGCGTCGTGTCTGGTCCCATGGACTTGTACACGTCCAGCTTTTCTAGGTAGTCCCTAATCCATTCTTGCACCTTTGTCAGCGGCTCACCTCCTCCCCAAACTGCTGCTTGGTGCAAAAGTCCGGGAGCTGACCTTACCTGTGGAGACTGAGGTGAAAAAGGCATTGAGCACTTCCACATAATCTGTCACAAGGTTGCCTCCCCCAATCAATAAGGGACCCACGCTTTCCCTGATCTTCCTCTTGTTGCTGCCATATGTGTAGAAACCCTTTTTGTTCCCCTTCACGTCGCTTGCTAGCATGAACTCCAGTTGCACTTTGGCCTTCCTGACTTCATCCCTGCATGCCCGAGCAACACTCTTATACTCCTCCCTAGTTGTTTTTCCAAGTTTCCTCTTCTTTTAAGCTTCGTTTTTGGGTGTTTAGCTCACTAAAGAGTTCCCTACCAAGCCAAGCTGGTCTTCTGCCATACTTGCTAGTCTTCCTGCACATCGGGATGATTTGTTCCTGCACCCTCAATAAGGTTTCTTTAAAATACAGCTCTCTTGGACCCCTTTCCTTCTTGGACTGGGGTGTAGAGGCAACCAACAGCTGAAGCTGTAGTTGGACCTGGCTCCCAAGGCAAACCTTGCTTTTGTCAATTGGGATCTTGCCCATCCTTTCTCCAAGCGAGTCCAAGTCTGCTTTTCTGAAGTCCAGGGTCCTTACTCTGCTGCTCTCCTTCCTTCCTTTCCTCAGGCTCCTGGATGTAATCATTTTGTGATCGCATACATACTACTGCATATGACAGCTCTTTTAAAAACCTTTGTTCTTACCAATGATTTAATTTGCTTAGTGTGGAGAATAAAAGACTGAGGGGGTGGTTTTAATAACAGGTTTCCTATACCTGAAGAGTGATTACAGAGAGGATGGAGATAGGTTTTGCTCTGTGGTTGTCGGGGACATAACTAGGAGCAATGGTTTCAAGCTGCATCCGGGAAAATTTAGGGTGGAGATTTGGATGGACTTCCTGACCCTGAGGCATGCTAGTGAAGTTGGGGGAATGTTTGTCCCTGGAAATTTTCAAGAGCAGGTTGGACAGACACTTGACCGGGATGGTTTGGTTGCAGATAATCCTAATCCTGCCTTGATCTGGGGGCTGGACTAGGTGACCCGAGGAGGTACCCTTCAGCCTGGCTTTCCTATGATCCTAAGGTCTTGTTGGGTAACTTGGCCAAGACACCAGCAGGGATCAAACTAGAGCCCTGGTTTCTAATTGCTCTCTATGTCTATTAAATAGCTTAAATATCTCAATTTCCACTTTTTCTCCTCCCTTCCTATAGGCACTCCTAAGACCTGATGGACTTCTGCTAGCTCGTTCCTGAAGAGCTGGAAAGAGCATGGTTAAACACCAACCGTTGCAGTACTACGAGCCACAGTTATGTTTGTCGTGTCTGACGGGAATCTATGGCTGCCGTTGGAAACGGTACCAGCGGTCACATGACGATACAACAAAGGTTGGTAACTCGTTGTCTGGCCCCTTGCACACCCGTTGTTCATACAAATTTTGAATTGCAGCCAGGCGCTGAGAGTGCGAAGGTTGCCTTGAATGTGAAATTGGACTTGGGTTTAAAAAAAAAAAAATCAAGCTGTTGGATGTCGTGCAGTGCTTGATGTGTCTGAATGGAGGATGGGGTTACTGGCCAGAGCACCTTTGGGATTAGAGAGGTTAAAGGTGCAGTGAACTGAACCCATTGGAGAGTTTTTGACCCCATGGAGCAGGAAATGTGGTGTTTGTTCTTGCCAGTCTTCCAGCCTTATGTATTACACAGACATCGCTGGTTTGTCTTGGCCCCTCATTTTCAATTTGCATATGTTCGTTCCTTTGCATTGAAGGAGACTTTTGTGTTATCATCTATCTTTAATGAATTAAAGACCCTGTGACTGCCTGGAGGCAGCTGTTTTGTCTCTATTATGTCTGACCATGCCAGGGGAATTGCTTCATAACTGGCTGAACTGCATCCTGGTTTCCCTTAAGAACAGGGCGAAACACAAGATTGGCACGCCAAGAGTCCTACCTCTGCTACTGGCTTCCTGAGTGACCTCGGGCAAGTCCTTTCACCTCTCTGCTTTAGCTTCCTTTGCAAAATGAGGACGGTGCTACTGATGTTCTCCATTAGTGACGTGCTTTGGAGAATTAAAAAAAACAAAAAGCCAAGCAGATGAGCTGAGTATTAAGTGGTGGTGATAGTGGAGATGTTAATAGCAAATCCTCATCAGTGGTCTTGGGGCTTGAATTCCTGAGTGCTTTCCTGTTTGTTGGAGCTGCCAGGTGCAAGAATCGGCAGGGCTGAGTGTTTCTGGTGCTGTGTTACGACGGCCTCTGACAGGTTTTCCACTGTCTGCGAGGGAAGGCAGATTGGTGAGGAATCACATGGACTAACCTGGGAAACTGGGGTATCCACGATGGTGGCAATTTCTCCCACTTCATGCAATGTCTAGGTATTTTGGCAGGGTGAATTGGGGTCTTAATTCACCTGCAGAAAGGCCGGTGAGAAATCTGACTGCTTGCACTGCATACATCTCTCTAGTCCATCCTCCGAACACTAGCTAATATATTTGTACCACTTAAATCCCTTACGGTTGCTTTTTTTTTCTCTTTGCTAGCTGATTTTTAGTGTGCATCTCTCTCTCCTCCTCTCAAGCTTGGGACACATTTATTTGTCACAAAAATGCTTCTAGGAGATCATTTTTCTGCAAGCTCCAAGTTTTGCTCCAGTGACTATTAAAAAGCATCTAGTGCACGAGGAGGGATTTGTGTCAATGTTGAGGGCTCTACTTGTCTAGAAGAAAGATGGCGTTAGGTAGAATTACTCTGCTGCGCTGAGAGGCTCTTGCCAAAAGGCTTCCCGTTCTGAATTGCAGCCAGCGTTGAAGTGCAGTTGTGTAACGCGGGGAGGGTAGTAACTCGTGTACTCCATCCACAACCCAAACAGTAGAAACAAGTCTTCGTTATAACTGAAAATTAGTACGCAGGCAGATTTTTGTTTCAGTTTAGCAAGCTGTTGTTCTTTGTGTTAATGCATATGCACAATCCATATTGCTCTGTTTACCTCGGGTGTATTCAGCTATCACTATGGCGGGCATCACCTGTATGCACAGAGTGGTGTCTGACTGCTGGGATTTTCTTTTTGTGTCTGGTTGCATCTCCCTATGTGTGTGTCTCTGTTTAATTACTCACAATTCTTGAAGCAAACCGTGCCAGAACATATATTTTGCTAGCTAAAGATGTAGATGAGTGGCTAGTGCCAACAGTGCTGAGCAAGTCACGCGCTGTGGGCAATGTGATTCTTTGCTCTCCCTGTCAACCTTCAGTTTTAACTATTTAAAGTTGCTACTAGCCATAGAAACTTCGGGTCTAGGGGGCAACATGTTGCCTGCTGGTTCTGCGTTGGTGGCGGCTGATCCGTGTGAAAGAATACTGTCAAATGCCTTGTCTGGCACTGATCTTTTTTACTAAGAAGTGTCATTGGCAGGGTTGAATTGCAAAGCTGTTGATGCGCTAAAGTGTGCGTGTGTACGTACGTATGTGTGCATGTGCACACATGCACAGGTGTGCTGTTGGAAGAAAGCGTAGCAAGAGCATCCTTTAAACACAGGGACCTCAGTCGTTTTTTGAGGTAGGTGGAGAATCCGTAACCTTAACGCCGTTGCAGGGTTGTCCAACTTGGTTCTTCTTTCCACTGAGGTTCATAGCCTCTAGGAACAAGCAAGATGTGGAAGAACCAAGATGCCAACAAAACGAGTAGGCTCATAATCAACATTATGACAAGTTGCGTCCAGTCTTCCTGGGAACGTTGAACAAAAATCCGAGTTGGGAGGCTAAATCCTGGAACGACCAATGTTGCAAAATACGTGCTGTCCCTTCCTGCGCCCCAGATGCTTTTGCTTGGGTCTGAAATTGGAATTTTTTGGTTTTCCCCCTTCAGTTTTATTAGCTCTTCCTCTGTTGAGCAAAGGCAAACAGCTATTGACCCTTGCTCTATCCATGCTTGCCCAATAATCATGTGTCACGGTGCATCGGTGTGCTGCAGAGAATGGATACCACTGCTGACTTACGCTCACAGAGAGCTGGGATTGCAGCCTCCTGCTCTTTAGCCCCCAGAAGAGACTTCTTGAGCTGAAGAAAACTTCAATAGGTTATCGTGGGGATGACAGTATTAGCACTTTCCATTCCACGGACTAACTCTCAGAGAGTGACTAGGATCTGGTCCATCACACCGAACCAAGGTGTTTCCAAACGATGTCAGGAATAGCTAAATAAGGAAGCAACGTATTAGGAGCATTTTGATGCCTTTACTTCTCTGATTATAGTTTGCTCTGCTACTTGACTTTCTGACTTGAATGATCCTACCTGAAATGCAAGTTCCTACTCTACGTGGAGTAAGTGTCCATACTGGAACCTGAATATTTATCCAGGGCGTTTGTAGTTAAGGTGCTTATCGGCTGAATGAACTAAGCCTGAATAGACACTTCTCTCGCTCCCTCCTTAAGGGAGTTACCAGCAATGATCTGGTGTGCTGGGATGCAGCATACTCAGACTTTTTGACTCCACCGGTATTTTGGCAGCGTGCCAGGATGCCAAGGCCTTGCATTTAATTAGGGTGGAAATTTACATATGTTAATTGCCTTGAATAGATGTGCACCCAACCATAATATTTGTCTGTACATGTATCATATTTGCTTGATGAATAAAAATTGCTTGGTAGATTTGTCCTCAGCGGAGCGCTGAAATTGGGGTAGCTTTATTGCTACTTATAGTTGCAAGAAATAGGAGCTGGCAGCTGCTTTCTAAGTGTCCTTTAACATGCCCCTGGCTTTCAGCATAATTCAAAGTGCACCTGATTTACTGACCCTTGCAAAGTGATCATCATTTGAGAAGGTGGGGTAAAGCATCTGACTGCTAATGCCAACTCTCATCTGGGGTTAAATGGTAACCCTGCTGATGTGGGCAATAGACTTCCACCATCATGTTGACCAGGCAATCATTGCACCCTTTGGTTTGCTTGGAAGCCACTGTGGGTTGCTGCAATAGATGCCGAATGAGCCATTTTCCATAGTGGTTGCAAGAGGGAGCATCATCATCAAACGTGGCTTGCTTTGTGGAGCTGCGAGCTGTAAGGCTCGACCTTCAGGATGCCGAACACTCTTGAAATCTGCCGAAGTTTAATGCACGTTGCTGGACTGAGATCCTAGTGAAGTCGGTTTTAAAGGTGTCTTCTTTCTCCCTTGCTGGTTCAAAAAGCATGCAAGCCAAGCTTCCTGTTGCAGGCAAGATTTACATGAAAATGAGAATTTTAATTGTAAGTTTGAGTTTTCAGTAGACAGCCTCCTGGAATTGTAATTATTTCCTACCCTTCACTAACCTTTCTGAAGAAAAGGAAGCCTGCCCATTCTGCACCTGTGAGTTCCTCTCCCCATATTGATTTTTTTTTTTTTTTTTTTTTTGAGCATCTAGTTGCAGCTGCAAAACTCATGTCTCCCTTTTGGCTCAGGCGTGACTTATTTTTTTTCTTGTCCCTAACCTTCTTGAGAGATCCGCTTTCACATTGTCAAATATGAATGTGGTGCTTTAATAAAAGGTATATAAAAAGAAGCCATCTCTCCAGCTTTCTAGCAGCAGAGTCCTTTTTTGGTGTGTTTGGCAGCATGAAATAAGCAGCGATCTAGTGTCAGCTTGCTTGTAAAGCCCCTGAAAAAGTGTTTGGGATGAAGCCCTAATCTCATCAGACCACCCTGCTCCAGTGTTGAGGGATTTGCAGCCCTGGATGCAAAAGAGACCAGTTCAAGCATTTAAGCACAAAGGACAGCTATCTGCCAGATCCCTACCTTCGAAAAAGCAGTTTTCCTAGGTACCCATCGAATAAAGCTATCTAGTTGATGGATTCTTAGCAATTAAACACACCGAGAACAGCCTTTTAAATTGCAGGATATAAATACGATGCTCGAACTGTAGCTTGCAGGCTTTTTGCCTTGCATGACCTGATGCTGAGGATGGTAATTTTATGAAGGCACTTGCTAGCAATGCTGTAGTTTAGTGACTGATATCGCTTCAGCCTTTAAAATCCACACAAGCTGAAATGTTTCAAGATGAAAAGGTCTGCTCCTTCCCTTGTGCTGATATAAGGATAAGGCTCCAATTTATATCAGCGGAGAAGGAGTCAACTGCTTCCGTCGGTGTAGCAGTGAAATGAGAATCGACTGTATTGTTTGGATTTTAAATCAACCCTGCATATAAATCAATGCCATGTTTTCAGGTTCAATTTTAGTAAAAACTGTTTTCCCCTGAATAGACGCCAGTAGTTCCTGATAATGATTTCAACTTGTCCTTACAAAATCCCACAGGAGAATCAAATGACCAAGGAAAGCACCCAAAGGGTTAAAACCCCTGAATGCCAAAATAAAAACTATTGAAAGCAGTTGAGCTGCAGCTTGCTTTTTGTGCATGCAATAAAAA